GCAGGTACACATTTCAAAAGTCTTCATTTTTTCTGATTTTCTTCGATAGCTCCAATTAAACATGACCAAAATTTGAATCAAAAAATCGCTTTAAGGAACTTTATATAATTGCAAGGAGGACCAGACTCAATGAGAATTTATTTTAGTTTAAAAATTGGATTGGAATCTTTTAGCCAAAACGCTGTAAAATAGCGTTCTCAACATACGTTCCACTCCCATAATCATTTTTTCAAACTATTTGAAATCAAAAATGATTTTTAAAATATGGCGCTGATTGAAGCGAGTTACTTTCATCATTTTGGTTTGAATTTAAATATGAGGCTTACATTTGTGTACAAGCAGTTTTTGAAAGCCCACATGGACATGTGACAAGACGTTTTCTTTACAATTTTTGGAGGTTGAAGGTGCCCTCCATACAAGAATATCTCATATTTTATGAGTATTGTAAGTGTTGTAGCTACACGTATTCTTTCAATAAGTCGTAAATATCTGTCGGAGGCATAAATAGTCAAATCAGGCATTCTATCGAATGCCCAGAACGGTAGTCAAATTTTGACAGTTTACGGAATTCTGTTAATTTTTTGGACGTATTTATATCAAACGTACCTAAGCGCCATAGGGTGAGGAAGGTAGAGGCGGGCTTGGATTGGCGGCAGAATCGGGCGTCCGGCTTATTCCGTCCTCTATACTCGCAATGCTTTTCCATGGCGCTTAGGACCGTTTGACAGAACGCGCTATTCGGGATTCTGAATTCCTCAAGAGAAACTAAAATTGGCGCTTAGTTCCGTTTGATAGAAATACGTCCATTTATGGGGATGAATTCACGGGTTTTCAATATTATGGGAAGAATAACTCTTCAAATCTGTGAACTCTCCTTGTTCCTTCTTTTTTCCGTGCCTTTAGTACATTGAAATGTTAAAATATGAAAAATTTTATATTTAGGAGGTTCGGAAAATTTCATGATAAATGTGATTTTACGATCTTAAAATCGTTTAAAATACTATTGTATGCTGCATATTTTTACAGAGAATTCTTTCGTATCGAAGCAACGAATTATTTTGACTAAAATTAAGGTAAAGAATCAAAATTTCAATCTGAGTAAGAATATTTGACTATTTGCCTAGGCGTTTGACAAAATGCCTGATTTGACTTTTTGCCCTCGACATATCGACAAATCCCACTGCAATGTGGAATATGTACGAATAGATACTCGCATGCTCAAAATTTCATAATTGCTGCAAAAAACTAAAATTAAAGTATCATTTAGTGCTCTTTCATTTACGACAAAATCGTCATAAAAGAATTTGGAGAAAAAAATCAAGTCCACTTTCATTGAGAAATTCTTGACGGAGTAAAGGATCCGGAAGTTGATGGATTCCATACGCCTGTGAATATTTCAAGTGTTACCAGTATGCCGGCAGTTCGCACAGTGCGGCGTCTGCAACGCACATTGATTTTTAGTGAAACAGATGGAGAAATTTCCATCGCAAGGATGCTGTTTTGAAAAATCAACTTGAAACTAAGTTTCAAGTCACGCTCATGTAAATCGTACACCGAATGAACGTTCTCTTAATTGAAACCATAGCGGTCGGGAAAATTCTCAAGACCCGTGATTCATCAATTTGCTCCGACCGTTCGGTATATGCGAACTTAGAGAGGAGAAAGAATTCCAACGAACTGGTTTTCTTGAAAAATTATAGGTGAAAATACTTATGGCAAATTTAGTAAATCCTTGCTGAAAATAAAAATAAAAACTAGATTTACTTCAAGAGCCTGATGTGAATTTGAAGTTCAAAAAAAAGTGCGTGTGTAAAAAGAGGGATAATATACCCTTCTTTTTGCACACGTAGGGTATGACTGACTTTAAATTTTTTAAGCATAATTAGTTCAATTGGTGGTCCTCATTTGAACCGTGTTAAACGGTTCAAAAAATAATTTTTTGCTCAGTTTTTAGGCTTTAAGAAAAATTAGGCAGAATAAGTACAGGTAGACTTTCCCACAGCATACTCATATAATTTATGTTCATTATGTATGTGTATATTTTTCTCATTTAATTTATTTTTGAAACAACCGGAATTCTCCTTGTTACAATGGGACTCTTATAACGACATCCAGGTATATTTGGGGAGAGACATGGAAATAAAATCCTGGCAATATTAAACTTTGTTTTACCATTAAATTAGGGAGTATGCTCAGCTTAGCACATCCATAAAGGGACCCTAAGACGCAAGATAGCCACCTAGCAAGGGAGGCAGGGGTGAGGGGTAAGAAATCCTCAAACTTATGATCGGCGTTGCTTCGGCCATGGTCGATGGTCCGAGTCCATAAAATGACGGTTAGATACTCACAGAAACTAAAAGTTCAAGCTGCAAGACGATTTCCTTACTACCCAAGTCGGTGCCTTTATTCAAAATCTGAGCTGAATCGAACGACGCCTTGTCATGTTCACGAAATTAATATTCCAAAATCCACACTGAAAAAAAAAAAAAAAAATACGTGCTACACCGTCCGTACCAGGCTCAGAGGCCGAAAGTTATGGGTGCTGGAGGAAACTTCCGGATGCTGGAGCTGTAGCTTCCATTGCTCCGGGTGCTACGCCAGGAACTTTCGGCCTCTGAGCCCGGAACTCGGACGGTATGTCCATATAGCCCGCAAGTATGGCTTCCAGGGCCGGAGTTTTTTTCAGTGTAAGAAAGGGGGAAGAAATCGCCAACAGTTAGCGGCTTCCTCCCCCGGGAACAAGAATCTCGGAGCTAGCCGCAGGTCCGAGATCCTTTTTCCTGTCCGACTCAGCTCTAGATTCACTGAGCGCCGCTCAGATGGGATAGGTCCAGTCCACTACGTGCAGTTGTCGAAGTTCCCAGGAAAAATAAATGATTCTCTCGCAGAACTATGGTAAATTCAGCTATTCTCATGGAACGCGGCAGCAGCGCTGCAGTACGGCACTTGGGCTGAAGATGCATGCGTTCAAGGCCAAGAGAGAGTGAAGCTCTTCGGTCGGCTCGCGTCCTGCTTCAAGTGGGTCAGACCATACACAGTCGTCAAATGGTAACTAAAAATTTTGAAAAAAAGGTTAAGCTTCAATCAGTAGAGGAAAAATCAAGTTTTCTTGTGGGAAAGGGTCTCGCGGGTCAATTGGACTGCGTTTAGCAGAAAGGAACCAAGCTACATGAGCTATTACCAAACTTAACTGGATACTCTAATTTTTTACAAGGGAACGTTCACACGGATTCCTTTGACAATTTCAAGGAATTTCCTTTCTACTAAGCAGAAAATTGACTGAAATTTACACAAAAATCCGCACAACCGTTTTCATGTATAAAATTAAATTTCCCAATTAAATTTGGCAATAGCTGATGCGGCTTGGTTCCTTTCTGCTTGTCGCGGTCTCATTGGTTGGAGGTGCCTCCCGCTTGAAATTTCTGAAAGTCCGGACTTTGCTCCTCTCTGCGAATCGAATTTAGCTCTTTCAAAATTTGACGGAATACCAATGAAAAGCTTCCTTAGAAGAGGAAGGAGGTTTAAATTGTACGGGTTCCTCGTCACTTGAGCTTTTTCTCACAAACGACCAACTTCTGTGACTTTTTGGATTTTATTCATTTCTTTTCTTTTTCTTTGACACAGATCCTCCTTCTTTGTTCCCAGAACCTTTCTCTCATTGATTTGGACTCCGGAACTGCACCGAAAGAAAGTTACGGGCTACATAGGCATACCGTCCGTTCCGGGTTCAGAGTTCGAAAGTTTCGGGGTTTGTAGCCGTAGCTTCTTTTGCTGCGGGTGCTACGCCCGAAACTTTCGCCCTCAGAGCCCGGAATGCGAATGATACGTCTATACAGCCCGTAAATACGATTTTCAGGGCCGGAGTTTTTTTTTCCAGTGTGAGAGCATCTTCTTGAAATTTTTCTTTATACCTCGTTTGCCAATCAGCACGACAGGACCTGTGCACGAAGTAATTAATTTATTTTTCCGTTTCTAAATTATCGGTTTTATTTTCTTTTCAAAGAAGAACGAGAAAAAGTCGTATCGGCTCAAAAATTCTAAACAAAAATTTTCTGGCAAGAGTTGGAGTTGAAGTCTGGCAAACACTATGAGATAAGAATCGCTTCCGGAACCAAAGAAACCGTAACTATCTGAAACAACCATTGACGCGATTGAAATTACAGTTGGCTCAACTAGATTACAGCTAGCTGAATAAAAATTGTAGTTAAGTCGACAGTATTTTTAGTTGAGTCATCTGAGCTGAGGTCATTTGAGGTCGCCAGTGACCGAGTCACAAGTCTGTGAAATTTATAAAATACACGAAAAAATAATGGATTGCTGATTTAACAATGAAATTGTTAAAAAACATGTCCGACATGTTTCCAATGTTCATTTCAAAATAGTATGGGATGCTAATTAAATCATGGGGCTGATTAAATTAGCATTTTATCTATTGTAAAATATACATCGAAAATGCCGGACACTTTTTTTAACTACAAAATTGTTAAATCAGCAATTTAATTTTTTTCCAATTTTTACGAAACATTGATTTCCGGGCCGCGGGAAACGCAATCCCCCCTTAAAAGCACCGAACGAGAGGACTTTCAAGCTTTGGATCGTGCTTGGACTTTTGCACTTTCAAATTTGTAAATCTCTCTCGTGATGATGTGTAGATAAACGAGGAATAGGATCTAAGCCCATTTCCGAAGGAAATTTGGCAACTCTCGAATGTTCATACGGCGTTTTTCCTCAGCACAGGAGTATTGAACACCGAACATTCGGTTCACACGACCGAACTTTTTTTCTGAGCGTGCAACCCGACAACAGCGGGACTAAAAGCTCCAGTGTCAATGTCTTGGTCTCGGTAGCGGCCACCGTAGCACCCGCTGCCTCTTGCCATCGAACTCCCCGTCAACTTGGCCCCACCCCCCGTCCGGGGGGGGGGGGGGCGAGCCCCCCTCCGATTTTTCCCGCGGTGCGCGTCTCCAAGTTCCCGACTAATTATTCGAGCGTTCCGTCACGGCGCGGAACTGATCATCGCGCTCTTCTTCCCCGATAGAATTTGTCCATCTCCGATATTTTTAATTTCTTCCGCATCCGTGACGCTGATCAGTGCCGATTTTGCGCGGGCCCTTCCAAGGTGGAGGGAGCAGTGCCGATTTCGGAAGCGTGGATTTGGGAATTTGAGATTTTGCGGATTTGCGGATTCGGGGATGTGCTGACGCCTCGGTAACGACCGATATAGAGCCTAATACTCCCGGTTTCCGGTTTCGAGTGTTGTTTTTTAGTGTGACACGTTTTATTTGGGATTATGCCTCCTTGGGTGAGTGTTTTCGCTTTTGGTTTCTTATTCATATTCACAGCTTGAATTTTTTTATTTTTATGAATTTTTTTTAAAAATGTTATTTGGACCTCGTTAAGCAGGATGGAACCAAGCAATGCATCAGCTATCGCCAAACATTTAGAAATTTAATGTTTTACATGAAAACGGTTGTGCAGATTTTTTTGCAAATTTCATCGAATTTTTTGCATAGCACGAAGCACATTTTTCAAAATTTTCAGAGAAATCCGTACAAATGTTCTCTTGTGACAAATCAAATTACCCAGCTAACTTTGGCAGTAGCTGATCAGCTACTGCTAAAAAAAGTATGGTGACATCTATACTATATAAGTCTACTAAATTTTTTACACGGTGATACTACTCAGTGAAAGTAACGAGAATTACGGCAGTATTCACTACAACCCTGGTGATACTCACCATAATATGGTAAATGCTACCATTAAGTCTGGTTTTCATTACCATACTAGTACCGCTGTGTCTGAGAATGGTGAAATCTACCATGATTTTTTGCAGTGGATGTGGCTTCTTTCCTTTCTGCTAAACAAGGTCCAATGGTTTTCCGGAGGTATTAATTTAATGTTTTCTTCTAATGCTTTTTACATTTCTACTGGCAAAATATTTCAACACTTTCAGGTTTGAGACGATTTTGAAACCCACCCGTACTCATCCTAAATGGCTCATAATTAATTGTAGATCCGGTTTCGAGTGTTGTTTTTGCGCGACTGATTTTTTTGCTTGAAACTTCGTGCCCCTGCTATGGCTGAAAATGTATCGTTTTTATTTTTATTTTATTTTTTACTTTTATATTTTTTTTCATATTTTTACTGTTCCATTTATTTTTAAGCGTGCCAGTATGGTTCGCTTCTTTTAAATTAATAATAGTCATCAATGGAACACATTATTTGACTTAAAATCCATCAGAATACAGCAGCAATGAGGATAATATTTATGAGGAATATAGAAAATGGAAATTTTCAGGCTACCCTTGACAATTTTTTTTAAAAAAAAGTAGCTAATAATAAATTCCAAGATGATTCATAAAAAACACTCCCAAAACATCAATGAATTTTCAATGCAAAAACCCTCGCACAGATATTTCGGGCTATCTAACAAACGTGCATACCTACGAACCTTTTAAAAGAAAAAATAAATTGATTTATCAACTATGCATACTTAATGAAAACTGGATAGCGTATAGATATTTTCAACCAACCTTACATTCTTTTTTTACACATGTAGACTGGTATACCTACACATTTTTCTCTCTCACACCGTCAAAAAATCTCTTTGAGTAATGTTTTCGCAAAATGTTTATAAAAATTGTACAAAAACTTTGACGAATGAAGGTAGAACTTTCCGCAGAAATTATTACAGTGCGTTTCACGTTTGTTTCGAATCATTCTCTCGAAAATCTTGTCCCTACTTTGAAACATTTCTATTTGGCGCACCTTAAAGGTTTTCCGTAGCCAATTGAATGAACTTGCCCCTGCGTGTAACGTCCTCTTTTGGCCCAATTTCCATCCGTGAACCCCCGATTCTGTCCTATCGGTTTTATTCAGTCGTGTGGCGTGATTTGCGATATATCGATTGGTCTGCCGTTCAAACCTATGCAAAAGGATCGATAAACGGATTGTTCGCAACGAACACCTCACTAATCGATTCTTCACCATGGCTGCGAATGGGGGGGGGGAGGGAGGACATCGATAGTCGATCATTCACGCCTCGCCACTGGTTTTATCTAGTCAAGTTCATCAGGAGCTTTAATTGCCAAACTATACTCCTCTGCGGGCCGATTATTGAAACTTATAGACAAAGCTATAGACAAACACGACAAAAGGATTTTGGAGGGATTCTATTGGTGGAGGCAGGTGGTGGCAATGGACATAGGAGGCAGGTAATAGACTAACCAACGGCAACCCACTGAAGACCCGCCAGTTAGTCCATCAATTCTTCCTTAGTCTATAAGAACCAACCATGTCAACCGATAGGATCGCTCCATACTCCCTATGTCTTCTTTGTCCATTGCTCTGTCCATCAGTTTTAATGATCGGCCCGCTGATGTGTTACCGTGCTCGCTTTAAGAGTATCTTCTAATACTGTTGAAGACCTCACGCTCGGATGGTGTAACATTTTTGGCGTGACGTCATTAAATCGGAAGGATACTGCCGAGGCATTGTGTATCGGCGGTGGCTTCCAATTGCGGTCCGCGATTGCGCAATCGAAAATTGGGCCCCAACCAGACTCGCTTTTCACACACTCACATCATCGTGGGACAATTAGCGCGCGGCATCTAGAACCTGATGAATCTGGCTCGAGCTTTGGCTACGGCCGGCGCCGCGGCGTAATGGACCGGGCCACAACAATGCTGCTTTACGGCCCTCCTCGAGTGGGTGCTCAAACAAGTAATTATCGCGCGTAAAATTGAAACGTGCGCTGACTAATGAAAACTTCGTAATCGGCCTGCCAGAGGCGGATCGATACAGCAATTTGGCAACACCGGATTCCCTCAGTTTAAACCTATGATAAGTAATCAATTCTTGTCGGATCACCTGGCCCTTCCAAAAACCGATATATTTCCGTGCTGCCGTGCTCAGGAAAAACGCCGTACGAACCTTCGTCAGTCGTCGAATTTCCTTTGATCGAATGCGAATTTTCAGGAAAACTTGTGAATATTTTCCGCTCAATTTTCCAGAGAATTTTCCTCGTAATTAGATTTAATATCATTTGAAAATTTTAAGAGAAAATATTCATAATTCTCCTGGAAAATAAACATTTTATCGGACGATATTTGACAACTCTCGAATGTTCATCCGGTGTTTTTCCTTAGTACAGCAGCATAGGTTTAAATTGAGAAAAACACTTTTGCCAATTTGCTGGATCCGCTAATGCGGCCTACCCTGCTATAAACGATCATGTTGGTGACAGAAATACTACCATGCTGACACAAATATTTTACAATCACAGTTACAATACTTTCATTTGGTTTCACTCACAGGGTTTAATGAATGAACTTAGTTAGAATTCAGGCGCGAAATCGCATTTAAATGAGATATCCACGGAGACTTTAACGCAAGGTTAGAACAGTTTCTCGTGTAGTATGACTTTCCTCCCCGAAATACATGCCATTGGCGTTTCTTCTTCTTTCTTCCTCTCTGTCTTTGAATTAAAACTTCAGAAAACTAAACGTACAATGTTTAACGTTTTAAGGCTAAAAATTGATACTTTTCAACTGAACACTGTCATTTCAAGAAAAAATAATGACGCAACTGAACTACTGAAGATCTTGTGACGAGATAAGTTTATTTTCCCATGATCTCGCTCTAGGTCTCACAATTCATGTCTTGTTTCTGAAGTGGCAAAGGACGCAGGTAAACAAACACTGAGAAAAAAGTTTGGCCATATGAACGGTGGTGCGCACAGTGCTCAAAATCGGCCGTTCTATTCAATTTCTGTGACCGAACTCTCGGTTTTGGGAACCACGGATCATGAAACCATGTTTTTTTCATTGTTCAGTTTGGTTTGAGCGCTTGGTTCCACGAACCGAAGATACGGTTCCCAGAGCCGGGAGAGAGGTCACATGAACCGAGCAGTGAGACCGATATCGAAAACCGAACTTTATGGTTCATATAACCGATTTTTTTTCTGAGTGAAGAAAAAAATAGATGAGAAGTGAAAATTACAGTATTGCAAGCGTTAAATCAGTCGTTGAACAGGTGGCTGTCTCTAGCGTTGGATCGGTGAATGGAGTGAATCGATAAAATCAGTAAATTGGATGGTATTTTTGCTCTCCTCGGAGCACCTTGAGTCTTTCCTCGGCCACGGCCGGTCACCTGTCTCTTATTGGCCGCGCGCAAATGCGTCGGTCGCGGTGAAAGTAACCATCTCATGAACCGGTTGCATTCATACCAGGTATCCGTTATCAGGCATTTACTTCCTAACATTCTTCAATGTTTGGTTATTCGCGTATGAATGACAGTGAAATGTTGAAGAAATTGGCAGGTATCCGCACCGAAAAAAAAGTGAAGTTGGTTTAAAATTCTGGATGTAAAAAAGTGTGCAAGAACTTACAAAATGCTGCATTAACCACTACAACAGTTACTGTAGTGATTTCAAGATGTGGAACTAACTGCTGTAGCAGGTATTCAGTATTTTGTGAGTTCTCGCATACTTCTTTTACATCCAGAATGTTATGTCGACTTCATACTTTTTTTTCGGTGCATCATCGGGAGGGTCTCAGAATGTATTTCACGGATTGAAAATTTGACAGCTATACTATCTCATAATTTCTATTGAGATAATTTGCTCAGGGTAAATTGCGATCCAAACTTGGAAAAAATCTGGTCTAATCTGATAGGTGCCGAGGATGAAGATGAAAGATTGGGTATATAATTGGGAGAGAGCACGCAATTATTATATATCGATGTGAATGGTCAATTTTTGTAAACATTTCTGATGGTTTTCAAACAAAATCGTTTAAATTATGCCAAATTTTACTAAAAAACAGGAGTTTTAAATGTGTATCAAAGTGTGCCTTAATATTCTACAGAGCGAGTTGAGACTTTTGCAAAATGTTCTAGACGAGGGGTTGGAGAGGGGATCAAAATTCAGAATTTGAACCCGACATGCATAATTAAAATTTAAATTGAACAAAAAGAAATAAATGAATTAAAAAGAAAATAATTGCTCACGCTACTCTTCATGTAAAAACAATTAATACGTTGTAGTTTTGTTTATAAATAAAAGTTAAAAAAAAACCAAAAAAAAAAACGCTACTCTAAAATAAATTAAGAACTACGATGGTTCCTGCAGACGTACACTTTTTATCAGCAACCAACGGTATTCAATTGTGAAGGTTAGTTAGTCAATTTACGTATTACGACGATCAGCAACTAGAGGGAATCAAAATTCATGAGGAACTCCGTCTATGTTTCAAACAGAACATTCTCTGTATAATCTGTTAATTTATTTTATTTAATTTTATT